ATGGGTTGTTCTCGCTAAAATGCATGTCTTAAACAATATAAATAAAATTTTTATTAATATTAACCAAAGCTTACAGTTGCAATATTTTTTGCATAAGTGTTAATAACGGTGGTTCAAATTATAGAATTAATCAATTATTTTAACATTTGTAAATACTAATTCATTTGTGGACCAAGCCTTCATGTCTATAACACTAAAAGTATATAGACATATATACATTCTGATGAATTTATTAATATGGTATAAAATAATATTAGTTATTGTAAGTTACATGCTTATTATTACTAAAACGAATAAGTACAAAAATGCATACGTTTCTTATTTTTTTGTTCCGCGCGTATGTAATGTCGTAAACGAAAGCTTTTAGCCTGCAGCTAAATTTAGCACAGCATAAAGTACAAACGGTTACCTATATGTATGCAATAGTTTTTATTATGTAATATTCTAGAAGTTAAGTGTGATAAATATATCCATAATGTATTTCCTTTTGTTATCTATGAGTGGGTATGATAAGAAAAAACATTAAAACTCAATTTTAAAAAATTGTTGTTGTATAAAAAAATTTAATGTAAATTCTATTGAGTAAATATTCGAACACTATATAGCAAATAATAACTTATATATGTATAGAAGAAAAAATAGAAGGCGAGCGTCATGGTATGTGACGTGTCACACAGGTATGATTAATATTATACATGCGTATTTCATTCAATTACACACAGTTACGGAATTCATAATCGGACAATATTGCGCTCATATTTTTATGAATTCAATATCATTAATAGTTTGGCAAAAAAAATACATTTTTAGTTGAGTATTGTAATATATTTTAATTTAGTTTTTGCGTTTCGGCACTGCACAACGAATAACTTCTGTTTTTTCCCGTTAGAAAACGAATTCATATTTACGAATCGAACGAAAATCAAAATTATGGTTACAAATTGAAATTTTACATATAATATTGTACAAATACATTAGGGTTTTTTCGATTTCTATCTGCAAGTTAGAACTGTAAAAGTTTCCAAACTTATGAGTACAAAGTAAATGAATTTAAAAGAAATAAAATATCAAAAATGTTCAGTGTATGTAATTAATAGTAGCAAGTAATCACGAAATCTTAAAACTTCAAACTATAAATTTGCCATGCAAAAAAAAAAATCTTATCACCACATTTTTACTACATTTTTCATGCTTAAAAAGAAACTAAACTAGCGTATCATCTTTCATGAACGTTTCAAATAGGTTTATTGCTATCAAATCATAATTAACTTAATTTAAATTTGAAATTGTAATTTAATTAAGCGTTAATGCGCATCAAACATTAACCATTTTTATCAGTGTGTGATCAAGAACATAGAAAGAAAAATGCAATAAAAATGGAAACAAAAAAGCAAAATTAATGTGATGCGGTGGCTATTTAATTTTTCGCTATTTAATATTAAAGTAACATTAATAAAGATGTAAAATGAAATAAAGCGAGAAAAATTAAAAATATTTTTTTTCTTTTCTGTTTCATTATTTTTCTATTTTCATATTAAAGTATGCTACACCAGCCACATTTTATTACAAACACATTATAAGTTCTTATAATAAATTATTAAGATTCGGTATACACTCATTCTTCAATTATTGTTCCGCTTCAATTTTTCTTGTTTTTAGTTTTTAGTCTTAGAAACACATTCAAAGCGATAACATTAATTCCATAACAAATTGGAGCGGGATAATTTAATAATTAAAACTTTTTGAATAAAATTAATAATATTTTAATTTTTGAAATAATTAATTGAGATTTTTATGAAATAAAATCAATAAAAATATGAAGAAAATGTTGCATTTTAATCGTTTAGATACGGAGCAAAAACTTTTATTAGATGAAAAATTTTTTAAATTATTGTCTACTTCTACAAATCACGATAGAGATGATAATAAAAATAATTTTAGTAAGTAATATGAGTGATTGAAATGAGAGTTTTATGCTTAATTTTTGTGTAAAAAAATCATAAGTAAAATACTAATATAAGTGAAAAATTGCCAATAAGTGCCGAAATTTAATTGTTTTAGATATGAAAAGATTGCAAATTGCGTTTGGTTTTAAATTAATATTTTTAATATGACAAATTAACTTTTATACGCACACAAAATTAAAATTAATTTGAATATTATTCACGAATATTTCGTATATTTTTTAAAAGTAGAATTTCCACTTTAATGAATTCCACTTTAAAAGCACAAAACGGTTCAAGTGATTTTATTAAAGTACATTGACAGTGCAACACATTTCATTAATTTTAAATAAATTGGCTTGTTCAAAATATAATTTCCTTTATTTCATATTATAATAGTGTGATCGAATGAAAAATTTCTTATCAAACATTTAAATTGTGTATGACAAACAGTATGCTTGCAACAGTTACTGTCGATTGTATCACACAGAGAAACAAGAGAAATTCGCTTGAGACGAGTTTGGTAGTTCTGAGAATAATTATTTAAATTTTTTTTCTTTCTGTGATTAATAGAGTGAAATTGAATAAATGTAAGTAAAATGCTCTATACTTAATGTAGTATAGATCACAAATAATAGACTTGAACTATAACTGAAAGTGACGAAAGTGTTACGAGTATAATAATATAAGTTGTATTAACATGATGCAAAGAAAAAATTTGAAAAAAAAAAATCTGTTGGCTTTGTTATACGAAATTAAATTCATATGTATAATATTTTGTTTCAAATATTTTCTTTAAAGAATACCAGACTGCTACTAACAGATTGGTACTACCTTACGATTTTTCCGATTACGAAAATCGTTTCACGAGATTCGAAATACATAGTAAGGCTCCAGTACAGGAATTTTTTTTTAATTTAATATCTACTTCCAAGAAAAATAAATAATTACATTGAAACATTAAAAAATAAAGAAATCGATTATTCGTTCATTAAACAAGCTTCAGTTTAAAGTTATAATTTTAATTGACTGTAAATATGTTTGAGAAATGATATCATTAAAAAAAAGTTGAATTATAATAGAACCTTTAATTGAACATGAATTTAAATTTAAAAATTCTAAATTTTCCCTTATGCATATTAATAATTATAATTATTTATTCATAGAAACTTATAAGTATGGAATGCAATCATTATACAAATACATAGTTTATAATGCACATACACATATTTTTATAAGTATATAAATATCTCATAATGTGTGTTGTAAAAAAATGATTGATAACATGAATTAACTTTCTTTTTTTTTCGCTCGTTTTGAATAGAGAAGGTGATTATGAACCAACATAAAGAATGAAAATCGACAAGCGTAAATTACATTTGATCGATAAATTAATGACTTTCATTTTATTTGCTTTTTTAAATTATAAAAAAAATCCAATAAAGGACATAAAATTTACTTTTATTTTTCCGTGTGCCGTATACACCAAGTTTGTTTCTATATAGGTATGCCTATGTTTATGTTATAAGCCTTTGAATTTAATTCAGTTCATTGCATTAAAAAAATAAAATGAAAAGACGTTTTGTAAAATTTTCAGTATTTGATTTCTTTAACCTTGATTATGTTTTGTGATTGATTGGTGTAAAAATTTGAATTTTAATACTTTTACATAAACTTTTGAATTCTTTTACTTTTGTAAAATATAAAAAATTCTTTTATTATTTTATATTTAGAAATTGCTTTTTGCTTTAATGGTTTTGAATTTAAAATTTTTTCGCGCTTTAACATAATTTATTTTGCAGTAAAATATAAAATATATTTGTTGTGAAGGAAAATTCAAATATGTTCAATTGATAAGGAGCGTAGAGTTTTTCAAAGCTTAGTTTTCTTTTCAAAACCCTTTCAATTTTAGCTTTTCTTAATTAAACTTAAATACATAAACTATGTGTACACTACATAATTATATTTAAATATGTTATGCATTGACGTTGGTCTTAAATGTTTTAAGTTAAATTTTGTATTTGAAACTTGTCTGCTGACCAAGGAGGTATTTATTTTTAGGGAATAACATCGCAAGAAAATGAGAGTTTTAAAATTTAAACAATTAAGAATCAAAAAAGTAACAACAACCTATTCAACTAAACAGCCTAAAGATAATTAAATTTAATCTCTTAAATTATGATTTAAAGAAATTTTGTATTTGAAAAAAATGTTATTAAAAAATATTATTCAAAATTTTGTTGATTAGTAAAATACAAAAAAAAAAAATAGAAAAATAAACTAGCATAGCTTTAATTGAGTTTGCCTTTCATGAGGTACTTAAATTTCAAATTTTCTAAAACAATTGAAAATTAACATTAATACGCACATGATGTTTATTTTTGACGCACAATTGCAGATTCTAACAACAAGCTTGAATTTCAGTCAACATACATAATACATTCACGGAATGTTCTTGAGATAAAAAGATTTTAACCAAAAATAATGACCGAAAATTTTGATAATGGTGTAATTTATACAATCACTCGAATCTCTGTTTCAATCATTAATTATAGAGGACTTTAATTCTGACCCTCTATAATCTCCTTCAACCTTAAAATAATCAAATGGATTAATAAACTTATAATATTCCTGAAATAAATTCGAATAATGAGCAAAAAATAACAATAAATGTTAGCAAAATAGTGAAATTACGTTGTCTTTCTTAGAATCGGACTAATTTGAATAAATAAAAACTTTAAATTAGTAAGCAACATAAAACGAAAAAAACACTCATTTGTTATTTGTTTTTATGCCTTAATTAAAATTTCGATTTAATTTTATTTATTCGAAAATAGCACGTCACAAGCTTTTATTTTTACCAAGAATTAATTTTCTAATACCACGAATTGATTTTTGAACTACTTATGATGATTAAAATTATGTGAAATTTGTTTACCCTTTTTTTAAAAAAGGTAATTCATGAGATTATATGACAATATTACGTTGCAAAATTTGATTATAAAATATATTTGACAATTCAACTTTTATATTTATTCTTCCTTTTTCTTTATATAGGTGGAGATCCACCAACAATTAATGGACAAGCTGCTGATCCCGCTTCAAATGATACTCTTCCAAATGAAATTTCAGCACCATATGAAGTTCCACAATTTCCAATTGAACAAATTGAGAAGAAATTACATATTCAACGGCAGTTGAATATCACGAAGTAAGTATTTTGATTTAATTACAATCTTATTAATATTTTATTCTAAAAATGGCAAGCCATAAAAAAATTCATTAACATTTTCTACACATATTTTGAATAAATTATAATTTTCATCTTTTTCGGATGAAGCAAAGTTAAATTTTCTTTAAATGGTACTTGTAGTAAAGATAAAATTGTGATTATTTCATTTATGGGTTTGCAATTATTGCAAATTGATTTTGATTACAAAAGAAAAAAAATTATAATTAAGAAATTTTTAATCAATAAGTTTGGTATTCCACCTTTTATAGAAAACTTAAAAATTATCTTCACATTGATTGCTTGAACACTTTTGAAATAAAATTTATTTTCATTGATAAATTTTTGAAATTCGTAATTATGATTTAAATATTTAATTTTATAATTACGTATTCATTCCCCTGTCTCAATGAAAAACGCTGTATCTCTACTTGGAAAAGTATGTTGAATTACAATTTTCTGGTTTATACAATGTTAAATTCGATAGTTTAACTTAGATTCAAATAATACCGGAACAAATTGGTTAATACGTGCAACATCCAACTTTTTTACGTGTAGTTGTAGGCGTGGAATTTTGCCATGTATTAAAATTAATTGCAACTACCAGATCAAAGTTACAAATAAGTTCAGTTGCAAACATGTTAATTTGTTAATATTTGTTAATTAATAGACATTCGGGTTGTAATTTTTTATATTATCCAGCGTCATAAGTAAAGCATAAGTGATATTAAACGAACCAAAAAAATCTGAAAGAAAAATCAAATATTTAATAAAGTGAATTACCGTTAATAAATAATCTTTTAAGGCCTGTGCTAAAAGAACTCTTAAAAGACTCTTCTTTCCGCTATAAATGTGATTTTCTCTGACTTAAAGAAAGTATTGAAAGGGATTCCCTAAATTTGTGAATTTTAACTTTGGAGTTACTTTAAAATTGTTTTTGGTCCACAATTTTCATATATTAAGATTAATTTATATTTAAAAATATGAGAAAATGCGAGCATGAATAATTCTATTTTTTCAAATTTTTAAAGATGACGAGGTATGAGTGTTTTTAAAATAAAAAAAATTGTGCATAAAATAAAAACGAAACTATAAAATGAACGTGTAATGCTTTTACGCATATGTAATATTTATAGTAAAAAGTCTGATTATTAATTCAATAATGTCTAAATACCTCGAGCAGAGTTTTGCCATATGTCAGAGAAAATCGATTTTTCGAATTATGAACAATTTTCGTGTAAATTTCCAGTAAAAAAATAAGAAAACGTAATAACATATTTTTTTAGAAAAATTCTACATTTTTGAGAAAATTCCAATAACAAAATGAAGTTTTGAAAAAATTGTCAGTAATAATTAATTATTTATAGGTGCTTGAGCTTTTTCGATTGACTTTACTTAACCATACTCTATAATGAGAAAAATGTTGTGATTTGAAAAGATTAATAACAACTTCGTGGGCATGAAAATGCGAATTCGGCCATTTTGATTTTATCGAAATTTTGTAAGGACTGCGTTAAATTTTTATTTATTGGAAACACAACCGTTTCTCCGGGCATCCTTATGGATATACATATTTATTTGTACGAATGGTAATGATTTAATTGCACGAATTGGATTGAATTGAAAAAATAAGAACAAAAATATTCACACACCTAAATTGCAGAAATACTGTTTTGCTACACAATAAAACGTCTGAGTGTGTTAAATGCGGAATATTGGAGCAATAATTGCAGTATTTCTGCAATTTAGTATTCAGGAATGCAATTAAAATATTAGACATAGATTTTATATTTTATGTACAATGGAACATAGCAACGAATTTACATTAAAGAAAAATATTTATGAATTTTACCTCGTATGGCTTACATGCGTGGTAAAAAATTTCTCTATTTCGTTTAATTTTCTTGTCATTTTTGTGTTTAAACTTAATTATTTAAAAGAAAACAGAATAAGGCATGCAAAAGAAAAAATATTCCACATTATTAGTTGTTAAAAATAGTTCACCTTTATAAGATAGTTAAACCGTAAAGTGAGTCTTTCAATGGTTGTAATTATTTTCAAGTTCATAGTGTATTTTACATATTTTTCATTTAGACGGTTTCCAATTCAGAAAAGGTATAAATATTTTCATGCACACATTTACTCGTATACTTTATTTTATAGTATATACAAGTTAATAATATACAAATAACGTATTTATATATATAGAATGTGCAGTAATAAATTAGTTTGTGTGCATGTAAACTTTTATTATTTGATAAGATACTTTTATGCAATATTTACCCGGTTTACTTAATTGACATATTTATTTTTGTTCCACGAGTATATAAATTATTCTTTCCTAGGCAAATATTATTTATGTATACATATTATGTACGAGTACATATATATAATCGGAGATAATAAAGTAAATAGTAGAAATTTCAAAAGAAAACTACAGTAAAAGCAAATTATTATAAACATATTATTTTGTGTTTAAATTTTCAAGGAAATGCAAAATACGGCAACTTAAAAGTGAAATATTTTGTATATAGTTTTGTGTTTATTACATAAAATTTTTTAATTGAATTATTGAATAATTATTTAATGTGAATTTATTTTTGAAAATATTTGAAAAAAAAGTTACGTTAAGCAAAAGCAGTTAAATGGATTCATGAATTTAAAAAATGTGCTTCCTTGCTTTAAATATGCGATAAATCTGTGGTAAAAATAGATAATCGTTTAAGTGGAAAAAAATTTAGTTATTAACGTGCTATATTTACAATTTTTTTTCATATTATAAAACAAGTACCAGACAAAATCCTTATTTTATAAATCTATAATGTATTAAGCACATGTTCTGGGTAAATTTTAATTGCCTAAGCTAAAGAAAGTGATTTTTTCCTATTCAATTGGATTACTTAATTAGAATCGTTGAAGAAATTTTAATTTTTAGAAAATATCATCTTAAGAATTAAATTTCGCGTTGCAACATTATTTTGTTTTTGAAATTTTATGAAAATTTTAGTATAATAGTAAAAATATTTAACTAAAAGATCAGGTGATAAGGCTCTGATTAAAAATATATACTACTATTATAAAATTGAAAACAACTTTTAGTTGATTTTAACTGAAAAGTAAATTAAATTATGTATTGAAAATTCTAAACAAATAGAATACAATAAATTGTTGCACGAATTTAAATCAGAAATTTTCAATATTTTTTTGTTTTATTTATTTATTAAAAGTAATTTGTATATTCAAATAAAATATTCATCTATCTACTTCATGATTTTGCTCTATTTAGATTGTGGAATATTGATAACAAAAAATTTAGTAGGCACAAAAATACTTTCAATAAATAATATAAATACAGAAACAGTTATAATTGGGAATCACATGTATGTATGTATGTGTTTGCAGAAGTTATTTCAGTTACGGATTAAGGAAATATGAGGCAGTAGTCACGGCCAGAGTAAATAGAATTTTGTATAAGCCTGTTTTAATTTTTCAAAAGAATATTTTAGAACTACTAAAAAGTTTTTGGAACTATTTTCTTAATTTTATTTATTTTTATATTTGAATTTCTAATAGTGAGATTTTATACAGTCAATAAAGTCTGGATTAATTTTATTACTTTCTACATACATATATATCTTAACATTCATGAGTGGGTGTAATTTGAGATTTACCATAAAATAAAATTATTTCGAGGGATAAGAGTTTTTTTTGTGATACATACTATTGTATGGAATTCTAATCATATGTAAACATAAATCCTTTTATACCAACATATTTGTTTGTATTTACAAACCTGAAAATTTTTTATGAGATAAAAAAATTTAATAGAAAAATTTTTACTTAATTCATTTGGAAAAGTGTATTTTTGCAATATTTAATTCAAAAAAAAAAGTTTAGTGTATTTTTTCAAAACTAACGTATCTGACTATTTTTAAATATATGTATGTAAATGTATAGGTATGAACAATTACTTTTTATTACCATAAACATTTCTATGAAATATAAACAAATAAAAATAGGAGCACCTTAATCAGCATTAAAAATGAATAAATTCATAAAATATTAATTTGAGTATATTTTTAGGCGCATATAATTTATTTTACACTTGTGATCCTTAAAAAGGAAAAAAATTTTGAGAAATTTAATTTTGAAAAAAGGTCGTAAAATTATTTTATAATGAATAAACATTGAACTATATTAAGCTTTAAATTCTGGTTGAGTATGCAATAAATTTTTGACAAATTTAATTTTAGAAATTCATGTTTTTATTCATAAAATAAAGCTGTGTCAAAGTAATGGTTTTTAATGTAGCACTTTTTCTTTCAACAAGTGAAAATACTGCTTTTAAAAATAATCTATGTACATACTCCTTTTTTATAATTACTTGCAATCATATACAAATATATTTTAAAGATTGCATACATTTTGGATGATCAAGGTATGCAATCTTTGAAATAAAAAAAAAAATGAAGAGGTGCTAATATCTCTCAAATTTAAGGGGTAAATTGCGTGAATTAAGAAAAATAATTATATTTTTTAATGGCATGGCATTTACCATTATTAGTCTTCTGCTTTCATTGAAATTTGGAAAGTGTGTTGCTTCGGAAATATAAGGGTTCGAAAACTTGCTAAATAAATAACTTTTAGAGGTGGGAGATAGGAGAAAACTTTTTCCTACAGAAATAAGTTTCTAGTAAAGATCTATGTAAATATAAAATTTCAGCTTTCTATGTCTTCAAGGGTGTAAAAGTTTTGCAAACATTTCGCCGGACGGACGGACAGATTAAAACTAATAATAAGATCATTTTTTCAAATTTTTTTTGAAAAATCGTAAAAAACTAGGTGTTTTTATGATTTCTTTCTATAAAATTTTAATTCTTTCTTTGTAGTACTTAATAGTTAAAATAAATAAATTTAATTGTATAATAGAAACGAATGACGTAAATTTTTAATTAAAATTATGGAAATTAGAAATTGGTGGT